CGATTACCGAGCTACCATAGGTGGGCTGATTGTATAGGTGGCAGGATCGGGAGAGCAGTCTCTTAACCATATCACTGGAAACCTTCCCTTCACGCCTGAAAAAGACATTTTGAAGTCTACTATAAACGTTTTGATCCCTAAAAACAGATATTCCATACAGTTTTGGAGTTTGAAAAAGGATTGAGCTTGTGTGAAACAGTAGTTGAAGACCCCTGACTGTTTTACTACCAACCGCTTCCACATTACAGTTCAAATAAGCGCAATTTTTAGTTTTTGTTACCATTTATATTGTAAATCTGGTTTGCCAAACTAGCTCATAATGTGTCATGTGTGTTTTTTGCGCTTTGTCGGCACAGTGTATTGCATCAATAAATAAATTAATAAACACTAATCTAAATCTCTACGGAAAAAACTTATGTTCTGACGTGCAATCGTGGATATTGGTTTTCAAAAGTGAAAGACTTATTTTAAAAGTCCTCCTGAGTTCCGATTATATGCAAAATGTATTTTTCAAAGAAACAGGGACTGGCTTCATACAATTTTTGGCGAAATTTTGGAAGGAGAGTTTACAAAAAGCAAAAAAAAAGCACTCGAGGAAGAAAGGCGACGATTCGAGGAAGAGCGATTCAGTTGACCTACCGTCCGTCCATTCCACTGTGATGATGCGGTTGACTGGTTGTGAAATAGATGCAATTTTTGGTACGTTTGATAGAAACCTAAAAGAAATGAGATACATACTGAGTGAAAAGAAAATGTCTATTTGGATTAAAAAAGGTCTACGAACAAGCAAGAACCTTTAAACCCCCGTTTCTGGCCATGTAAAATTAATTTGCTAAAACTTTTGCAAAACTATCTTGCTCACCTTGCTTGAGATCTTGCAAACATTAAAAAGTTCGCTTTGTTGAGATGCACAAAAAGTGGCGAATGGACGAAAGGAAAGGAAATAACCTAGATAGATACGGACGATCGCCGAAGGAATGGCCGAGTAGATAAGCTGCCGAAAATGACCTCAGGATTTGCGCTGAGTTGCACACCTGGCTGCGCCTGTTTCTGATAACAGACCAAAGTTCTAGCGTTTTGCATTAGGACAAGTCCGCCTAGTCGATAGGAAACACACCATTAAAACTTTCTAAAAAAAATGCTCTACGATATTTGCTGCTTAAATTGCCCTTCGCAGCTCTCAGATCACAATTGAAATGTTAGGCATTCAGATAAGGTATAGCACAAACAATGTGAAGTTGTAGCACAAATGTATGTAAGGTTCAATAGCATCTCGCTTCTA